CCAGGCTTAAGCAGCGATCACACAGGCTCAGCTCTCTGGCCCAGTCGGGTCGAGGCAGACGGGCTGAGACCCACCCTCTGTGGTGCCAGCTGCCATAGGACTTTGGATTCACTTTCAGGCAAGATTCCAGAAACGACAACTCAGCCTCGTAAATCTTCTGCGCTTCATCCTCGTCTCTGAGGTGGACACGGAGAAACAGGGTCATCATTCCAGCGCCGGCGTCTCTCCTGGTGGCTTCAGACACAACAGCAGGAAGAAAAAAACAACAACTAAATTGCTAACTTGACAGTTTCCAGGTGCGTCAGGATCTCCCGTCTGTAGTTCCACAGGGTTGCAAAGTCAGGGTTTGCAGAGAGGAGCTGCTGAGTCAGCTGCAGGGCTTCATCGTCCAAAACACCATCCTTCCTCTGACACAGTGGAGACAGAGAAGGAAGAGAAACAAACATGGATTTATTACATTGTAAATAAATTTATACCAAAAAAAAAAACACACACACAGCACCAGGATTCTGCTGCTTATTCTGACACTGCACTTACATAGTTTATCCAAAGCGACTGCTTTCTGCAAAACTACAAACTGAGCTTTGTTCAGTAAAATTAGATTTTTACTGTAATAGTTCATGCCTTGAAAATTGTACTGACCATCATTTGCATTGACCATTTAAGAAAATCTGAGAAATTATAACTTGCATAATAATTTCTAAGCACTTTTCACCTAGAAACTGTGCACTGCAGAAAAATTTCAATACGTTTGCAAACCAGGATAAGATCCCACATCCAATGAGCTCTGTCTTAGCATCACCAATTTTTCAAATTAAATTATTATGGCGTTATGAACATTAAAACAAACAAACAAAAAAAAAGTATGCATTTTTATTCAAAAACACATAATTTAAAAAAGGTTTTAAAACACGTGTCGCTGAAATCACCTTGGAGAAGCAGGCGTCCCGAGCAGCCACGTAGACTTTCAGCTTCTTCTCCCGCTCTTTCCTTTTCTCCTCCTCCTGCTGGGCTGTGGTTTTGACCTTCACACGGCCATGCTGAAGCAGGACGAGATGCAGTCCATGAAATTTATCTTTCAGGGCCGGGCTGCTTTAGTAGCTAAAAAATGTTCAGAAGCACCTCAAAGTACACCTTTTCTCCGCTCATTAAATGCTCATATTCCTGCAGTAGCAAAAGCCTTTCCGCATTGTTGATGGTAAAATTGAATTGGGCAGCTGAATTTATTTCACTTTATTTGCAATAGATCAGACTGGGCCTGTCACCATAACAAATTTGGCTGGACGATAAATTTTCCCAGAACATATTGCGATGAGCGATAATATTGTTGTTTTGAGACCAGTTTCAAGTAATATAATGGTAATAATGGCATAATAATGAAAGAAAACATTCTCAACAATCAATAACCTTTACGTTATAATAACATTTAAACACTGGACCCGAAAGACATTTTAAATATCCAAAATAAAGAAAGAAAACAACAAAATTAATTATGAAGTCACTGTGAACAAAATGAACTAAAAAAAAAGGGATAGTTGAGACCAAAGCGCCAAACTGATGACTTTTATCATTCAGTTTTTGGTAAAAAAAAAAAAAAAAAAAAAAAAAAAAGAGAGAAAAACAATAAATCAAGAAAATTAAAATGATTCAGTTCCCTTTAATTTATCATGTGATTAATTAATTTATTGTTTATTGCGACAAGCTTAATTCAACCACTTGTCATTCATTTTCATAACATGACATTCATATCTGCTTCAACACAATTTATGCACAGGATTATTACACATTTACCAACTTCTCAGCTGCAGGACAGTAGAAATGGATGGATGGCATTTAGCCAACCGGACTGAATAAATATCTAGTCAATTCTTCTGACACAGTAAAAGCTGAAGATCTTGAACTAGTTTATGTACTCAAATGTGTGCATCGACAGAGTTTGGAGTAAACAAAGAGCGACAATGTTTCCTACCATTGCTGCTGGTATGTGGGGAAAAGCTCGTCCAGAAATCTGTTTACATATGAAGAGAGAAACGAGATGAGGCCTGAGCAATGACCAAAACAAGAGCAACAACAGAGAGCTAACAAGGAAGCGACGAGCATGCACACTGTAAAGTTTCAGTGCGATTGATTAGATCTGTGAACGTCCTGTCTACGAGCAGAGCAGACTGAAGCTGTGTTGCAAATGAGCCCAGATGTCCGCGAACGCCACGGGGCAGGGCTCCTTCACTGCTCAATGAAAGCAGCACGTTTTAGCAGAAAGAAGCGGAGGAGAACGTAGTGCCAACGCCGCACCACGAACACGCGCGGTATTAATCCGACAAAACACTCACCTGCTTGCTTCGTGAGCGAGTGAGACGTTCAATCACCGTGCGATTTGATTTGTCATGTCAGGTTTCCTGAACAACTACAATTTCCCCTCTTCCGGCTCATGACAATTACGTCACGCGAGACGCTTTGTCGCCCTCTGGTGGAGAAAACTATAAACGGCAAATTCCAGGAGTTTGATATTTGGTGTCGTGTAAAAGTGTTGTCAAGAAAGGCGAGCCACAGCTTCACAGAGCATAATTGTGATCAGGAGAGGAGAGTTTGGGCCTGCATCCGACGCCACAACAAGGTAGCAAAAGAGCTCATCAGTAATTTTAGCAACCTCCACTGCATTGTTTGTGCAGTGGAGGTTGCTGAAGTCAAGGTTGGACTTCCCACTTTCCCTTTCAGAATAAATAAATTTGAAGATGGGATTTGAGCGTCTTTACAAAGCAATTTCTGAATTTCCGCAACAAGAGACCTGAACTTGTGCAGCCAACTGCTTGAATGAAAAAAAAATCACGAGAATGTGAAGTCAAATGAAGTGACATTGCAAAATAAAGCACATTTTTTTTCTGAATTTAAATTTGACAGATTTACACAATAAATTATTTATTTGCATTTTTGTTTAACTTGTGAATGTTCAAAGTAAAACTCCAACTACTACTATATCATGGGTTTTTTTGTTGTTTATTTATTTTTTGCTGGAATTCTTTTTATACTGCAGATGTTTTGATTAGCAAAATAATAAGACCTCTGGCTGCTCTTCTTTCTTGGATGTCTTCATGAGTCAACATGATACAATTGAGAATATTGGAAAAAAGAAAGACAGAATCATTGTATGAATCATGGAAAGAAAGGCACGGTGTGCTGTTAGCAATCGTGTGACCTGTGCAGTGAAGCATGTTGTGTGTTTAATTCATTAACTAACATTCAGAAATAACATAGTCTTTTTTGTTCTGCAGCAGTAACTCTGTGTGTCGTCTACAGACACAGTTACATCCAAAACCTCTGCCAAATGAGTAGAAGTGTGTGTAAACAAAGATTTCAGCAGTTGGAGAAAATGACATTACATCAAAAGCTTGTGTGAAGTGTATTAAATAGTGTAAGAAATTAGAACACCAGGTTTAAAAACCTGGTGTTAAAAACCTGGTTTTACTTTAAAACCTTTAAAACTCAAAGGTTTTAAAACCACTAGGTGAGTTGAGCAAGCTATGTTTAATTTGCCCAGTCTATTAAGTGAAATAAGTGTAAGTTAATTGTTAGCTTGTTATGTTTAATGAAATACTAAAACAAAAACTGGGTTTCTTGTCTGCATGTTAGAGGTATGATGCTGTATGACCTTTTTATCCTTTGTGTATGAGGAGCATATAGTATTAGAGACTAAATTGGATCTTGCATTTCTTCTTGAAATACATGTTTGAAGACAGTGATATGTTCTTTTATCGCAATGCAGCGTTTTCCTGTTAGTTACCGTACAACATACAGTTCCACTAAGTGTTCACATTTGTCCCAGACCCTTTAACATAGTTGCTAATATTAGCCAAACTCCACTGTCCCTCAGCTCCTTCACAAATCCTCATTCTCATATGCAGCAGCAGCACCACCTAGTGGTCAGCGGCACATCTGCTTCTCACTCACAAGAGAAATGTGAAAATACTCAAAATCCACACAAGAGGAGACAGTAAGATGCATTAGAAAGTGAAATGCTCTCTCTGGGACGTTGTCCTACTTCTGGGAGGCAGCAGGGTCATGATGGAGGAAAGTCAGAGAGGGGAGGCCAGTACTATGCAGTTTATCTGTGTCGAGACAGCAGGAGATACTCGATGCCACACTGCAGGTTTGATATCTGCTGCTGCTCAGCTTACACATTCAGTGTGACCTGAAGCACCTCTGCTCTGCTTTGCTCCGGTGGCTGCATGTGTCCTCTGTCGCTACCAGGTGTCTGGGGTCAGAGATTGGAGCAGTGTGAGTGTGTGTGTGTGTGTGTGTGTGTGTGTGTGTGTGTGTGTGTGTGTGTGTGTGTGGGTGGGTGTGTGTGTGTGTGTGTGTGTGTGTGTGTGTGTGTCCCGCCCAAACCAGCTCCAACAACAAGGGGAGTTTGACTCTGCAAAAGGACAAACTGTGAGGTGGATTTGTGAATCTGAAGGACGCCGTGGGCTCTGAGGGAGCAGAGAAACATCTGGAGTTCACCAACCTGACTAACTCTGGTTTGATATTTGTGCTTTAGATTGATGAGGTTGCCATAGAGATCCATGTTATTCAGTTTAGGATCAGATGCCGGGTGTTGAGTTTCAAAAAACTTTGCACATTTGTTTAATTAAAGGGGCAGTATTGTGTCAGATTGCCTTTTTTTGAGCTTTACATCAGGATAAAAAGTTATTCCTGTGTCAAAAACATACCTGATGTTGCTCCCTACTTTGCTCCTTCAAACTAGACAGCAGCAATTAGCGAACATCTGGTGGAGCTGAGCTCGTTACACTTCTCAGTGCAGCATCGGTAAAAACGTTGCTAAAGGGCTAATGGTTGAGCGATGTGACTTCCTGAAGGTGGAGTGTTGGAAAGAGACAGAGTTTCTTCAAGAGGCCCAATTTGAAGGCATTAAATTACAATTAAAATTTATTTTGACTTTGTCGTCACAGTTGATCTGTACAGCATTTTTATAACAACTGAAGGTAATATAGTTACTTGTAGAAAGTCAATGCACTAGTTCCGGTGCCTGACTGTTAAGGCAATGTTTTAACAGTCAGAATAAGTTTTGTGCTAATTATAATAATGTGTCAAAAAGATTACTGTACATGGTGGCTCATAATCATTGACACGCTTCATTATCCCCTGAAGTTGACTGGATGCTGTACTGAGAGATTCACGGAGAGACTCTGTGTGTCCTGGGAAGCTTTGTGCTCCAGATCTCGGGAGTTTGTGAAAAGTGACCTCTTTTGAATTTAGAGATTTGATAACAGTGAACAATTCAGATGTACTTTTTACACCTCTTCACTTGATTACATTTGTCTTCATGATGTTAGATTCAAATCAGTTTATTTTGGTAAATTTTTCTTGACATACATGTTCAGTTTCTATAAAGTAGGAAGAGCAAAATATAATATAACATGTTGGAAGGAAACTTTACTCAAAACTTTATCAGTAGTTAATTAAAGCCTCTTAAAATAATATACAATTTATAAAATTAAATGAATCATAAAATGAAATAAAACTGTATTATTAGTTATGCTTTTAGCTGAGTAAATTATCTGTTGTGCAATTTTCAAAATAAAGGCAAATAGCAATACTCTAGATCCAGGTATAAAAGTCACCATTCAGCCATTTTGGTCTTGGGGTGAATAGTACTAAGAGTCAGTATCCTTATTGTCCACTTGCCACATAAACACAGAAAAAGTATTTTAGGACCCTAATAATTTGCGATGGAGTCATTGTCATAGTCCAATGATAGCACAGATCTGTATCCTGATGTGTCAGAGAAGTTGACGGTCAGCTGGTTGTCCAGATTTCTGGTTACGTGAAGTTTGCCGAGCCAACCCAGAACTTTGTCAAAGTTGCTGCTGGACACTTTTGGATCTGACGAAGAGCAAACGATGGACTGAGGTGGACTGTGGTCTGCCACTGAAAAGGAAACGATAGCACTTTTTTCAGTAAGTGTATTATTGTGGATGCAGCAATTGGTAAGTTGAATAGTTTTTTTTCTTACAATCAGGAATCAAGATGTCCATGCTGCTCTGAAGAACAGTTGAGGATTTCAATAGTTCCTTATCAAGCTTTTCAATTTCCTGGCTGATTTTGCTATCAAATTCTTTCAGCTCTTTGTTTTGGTCTTTCATCCAGTGACTTGCAAACATAGTTGTTAAGTTGGTCATATGGGCAACTATCATTAAAAAAAAAATCAGGTTAAACCTCCAAACACAGTGACGCATGTACATTGGGGTAAAACACATGTGTTTGTCTTCATTGCAGTATACTCACTGGGTGATTTGGGTTTAGTCGCTGCCATAGACTCTTGGAGTCCTGCTTGGAGCTCCAGAAGGGTTTCCTTGAAACCCAGCAAGAGCTCCAGCTCTCTCCTTTTGTACTCGCTCTGCAGGCGCCGCTTAAGCACATTTTTCAGCTGCTTCCTCTGGGCTTTCTCAGCGATCCTTTGGTGGGTCTCTTCCATGTCAGGGCAGAAGAGCTTCCCTCCGTTTCCTGCCACGATTTCCTCGATCTTCTCAAACAACTCTGCAACCTGAGTCTTATCTCTTTTCTTCATGTTATTTATGGAGTGGTACCGGTTCTCACACTGGTCCACCAACCAGCGCAGAGACTGAGGCTCCCTCTCAATGTGCTCCTCGATGGACCTGTCTGCTAGGTTGTCTCCATACGTGAAAACAACTATTGTGTGTTTCCAGATCCCGATGCCAAAAAGGTTCATGTGTTCTTCCACAGCAACTCGGTCTGGTTCTCTGAATGTTGGGTTTAAAGGGACCACCAGCAGAACTGCGTGGACCCCGGACGGAGACGCACCTCGAAGCATTTCTTTGTCCGTCTCTTCGGTGCAGCGGGACAAGTCTCTCCACCAACCCGGGGTGTCGATTACGGTGATCTGTCGACCATCTACCACCCCGTTCTCTATCTTGCACTCTTCATTCTGACATGTCACAAACACTTCTTTACCCAGGATTGTGTTTCCTGTTGCACTCTTCCAAGAACTCTTCTGCCCAAGCAGAAGAACCCTCAATACGTCCAACCTTTTCCTGGGCCCTGAGGAGAAAACAAATGGGCCAATCGATCAGCTGACACAGACACAGTATTTATCAACAGAATATTTGAACATAAGTGAAAGATTTACTTAACGACTGGCACATACCTGCTGAACTCCTCATAGCTGTGACTTGTTTTTTCCTCAGCATTGCAGCCTCCTCCACCCATTTGCGTCTTTTTTCAATGTCGACACGCAGCTGCTGGTCTGGAGCAAAATGGTTCCAACTGTTTTCTGCCACAGTTTCAGTGATTTTCTCCATCAGTTCTGTGATCTGTCTGCGATCACTTGGATTTTTGTTATTAACGACATGATATCTGTTGTCACATAGCTCCACTAATGACCGCAGGGCCTCTCCCTCTCCTTCAATGTACTCTTCTATGGATTTGGCCCCCAGCCAGTCTCCCCTGGTAAAAACTATCACCGTGTGTTTCCACACGACTCCATCACCGAGAAGCTCCAGGTGTGATGTTGCTGCTTTCAAATTCTTGTTGTGGAAGGATGCATCAGCATCTATCACTAACAGGAAGACGTGTGGTCCAGGGGCGCACAGAAACATGCTGTTGATTATTTCTTCTTTGATGGCTTCTGGAGTGTCACTGGCAGGGAAGCCTTTCCACCAACCCGGCGTGTCGACGAGCGCGACGTCGGTTTTGTCAACAAACCCTCGGCGAATCAATGACTTTGCCGTTCGCTTCCCGTCTTCCTGTTCTCTGAAACCGAAGAGAGTGTTCCCCACCGCTGTTTTCCCAACATTTCGGCTACCCAAGAGAATCATTTGGAGCTTTGGGATCGACTTCTTCTCCTCTGTTATCAGACGAATACAAAAACATTTATTTAACAAATATATTATTGTTTTAATGTGTTAAACTGTAACTAATCTGCAACAGGAATATATGTGATGCTGTTGGGTGGATTAGACATTTAGACATGTAAAAAAGTCAAATCTTTAAGTGTGAGCTGCCTTTTTTAATCTAAGTAATGCAGGGCTTCCCACAATGAGTAATAAGCCTGGTGGCCCACCAGGCTTTACTTGTGCCCCCACCAGGCTTAGCATTGTTTATTTATTAAATTTTTTTGGTCATTGCCTTTTTTAAAGACTTTATAGTTGGTGTTTAGGTATTAATCTTCCAGTCTTCCAATAACGCATAACCATCAAGTGATATTTTCTGTTAACTTTAAACAGTTTTTATCTCAGAAACATGACGGCCAGCTGGATGTGTGCCCTAGTGCCCCAAACACTAGGGCTCAGCAAGTTTTCTGCAGGAAATTTATATTTCTTTAAAAGTGTTTGAGTCAGTGAATTCAATCAAACTGCATTTCCTCCCCAGAGACTAAAATGTTTGAACAATTTAATTCTCTGAAGTAACCCTAAGATGCAGAAGGACAGTTTGTTTCTATGAGGCAGTTATAATTTCTTAATCTTTTTCTCAGTTTAGTTTACATGTAGGTGGCATTTCATCTAAATCCCTACAGTTTAGGTAAAACTAAACTATGATGAAGCTGTTATGTTTTGGTAAGTAGTTAGATTTCATCCAATTGTATCTGTTTCTAAATTTGTGTGTGTGTGTGAGTGCAGCTATAGTCACTGTTACCTGGAATCAGTCTTTTCCTTCGCTGTCTTTGCTCCTCAGCCTTCGTCCGTCTCTCTTCCGCCCTCCTGGCGACATCTTCTTGCTTTCTGGTGATGACCAGAAGAGTTTGCTCGTCTATCTTATAAAAAGCCCCACCGTTGTTCTTCATCATCTCGTCCATTTTCTGCAGCAACCCTGAGACTTGACACAAGTTATGCTTGTCCTTGTTATTGAACACATGGTACCTGTACCCACACTTCCCCACCAGCCACCTGAGCGAATCTCCCTCGCTCTCGATGTGCTGCTCTATCGTCTTCTCCCCGAGGTAATCCCCACAGGTGAACAGCACCATGACGAACCGCCATACCCGTTCTCCCAACAGCTTCATGTGCTCCTCCAGGGTGGTCCTGTGCTCCTGGGTGAAAGCTGAGTCTATGGGAACGACCAGGAGGAAGATGTGCGGACCGGGCGGGCTCTTGGATGCGTACAGCTTAAAACTTTGCTTTTCCCCCTCTGGGATGTCGGTGAGGCAGAGAGAGCTGCTCCACCCAGGAGTGTCGACTATGATCAGCCTGCTGCCCTCCACCTCCCCATGCCTCACTTCCACCTTAGTTGTTCTGGCTCGTCCACATTCGAACCTGTTCGCCCTCAGAATCGTGTTACCAGACCAGCTCTTGCCTCCCCATCGGCTGCCGATCAGGATGATTCTTATCTGTGGAAGGGTTGCACTCCCTGTCTCCTCTAGGGAAAATGGAAGAAAATCTAACATTATTGCTCAATTAACTCTGATTCTGGAATGTTTCTGAACACCTTTAATTTCTACTTTGCCTCCAACTTTATTCTATCCTTTCAAGATGTTCCATAATCCTTCAGGTTTTCTGAAGGTTTTTGAAGTATATCTTTTGACCTTAAAGTCTTATATATATTATAAGACCACAAAGTAAAACCAAGGCCTAATAAAACACTAGATACTGTATTGATGAGTACCTAGTCTAATCTTTAATTTAAGAACCTGACAGATACACCAACCTACCAATAATATTCTTGCTGAATGCCATGTTTACAGCTAAAACCTGTGCACTCATCACGTTTCTCCTGCTAAAATATTGTTGTAATACCTCGGTTGAAATGTATTGTCTTTGTTACTTTCACAGAATCAGCTGAATAAATGAGAGAAAATTAGTGTCGCTGCCTGTTGTGATGCTAAAACTGTCTCTGTGTGTCAACACATCACTGATTCATCCCTTGGGTTTAAGCAGCCAATTTTATGCCTGAATGATTTACAGGTCACAGCTAAGCAGCTTATCAAATCAGAAAACATCCCTCTTGAGGATGGTTTGAATTGAAAATTTTTCAAAGAAAAAATAAAACGCAAAGACAAATAGCGGGAGATCTTAAGAAGCTTGTGATTAAGATCACATAAATAGATTTTAAAAATTGTCTTCTGAACAGGAAGTCTTAAAAAAAATAAAGAACGACCTTAGACTTGGCAGGATAATGCTCATTATTAGATGTGTCCTATTTTAATTCCCTGTTTGACACCAACAAGGTAATGTGTTTACTTGTGACCAAATTCACAAAGGACCCTCAGAGAAAAGGTTGAATATTCCTGGAGCTGAGAGGCTTTTTGGTTTGAAAGCGCAGACATCACCAAATCTGACTTTGATGTTTTTAAAAGACTGACACTAAGTTAATGCTCTGGGGAAAGCTATTTTTCACTCATCAGCTCTAATGAGAATCAGAGAGATGTGATGAAACTGAAGCAGTAGGTTCATTTTTAGACTGAACCTTGAACTATAACAAGAAATCAAGCAGCAGAGAAAATAGAAATCTTAACCAAATCTGCCCAGAATTACTCAGCCAAAGAAAGCAGCTCCTGCACATCTTGTCTTATTTTGTAGCAGGTATCAAATTATAGATACATGAGTTCCATAAGTCCATACTCTTTGTAAGACCAACAAGCTAGCAGTAATCTTTCAAGCAGCCGTGAACAACATTAACAAAAATGCACACAGTGTATATGTCGCAAACTCATGAAGCCAAAATATACCTCCATAGTGAAGTACGTCGATGGCAGTATCATGCTGTGAGAATTTCTGCTTTTGACAGGAAACAGACTGAACTTGATTCAAACGTAAATTAGCTAATTGTGCACTTAAAAAATATTGCTCCAATGTACAAAATTATAAAATAAATTTTTAAAAATTGTTTACAGTACATTAATTATGAAAAACATCATGCAGTGACAGGTTTGAGGTAACTTTTGGTACAATGTCCTGGAAAAATAAAATGATAAGAATTATAACTATATAAAATATTTTCTAAATTCAAGCCAAAAAAACCCTCAAACTTTTAATTATTCCTACTTTAGTTAATAGTGATTCAGAATGATAAAAATGAACAAGATCTGCCTTCTCTACACAGGAATCTGAAGGTGTGTTTGTTTTCCCGTCTGTTAACAGGAAGTTAACAGACAGGTTTCTTTTGTAACATGCCGGGAACTGAAGCTTTGTCTTCTGGTCAGAAAAAAATATGCAGCCTAACCAGTTTAACAGAAGTGCAGAGCTACATTTGACTAACTTTTGTTTCCTTTTGCAGGGATTAGCTGATACTATCCCTGCAAAAACCAACTAAGGCCAGACGTTAATATTCAGCTTACATTCATTGATCAAATGTAAAATCCCAGCTTTTGAACCTAAGAATATTTCATGATCTCTCTTCTTTTTTTTTTCGCTGAAAAACAGGGACACACGTTACCACATTTGACACATTTTTATTAAATACTGAATTCTGTATTTTAATCTTCAGGCAGCAGCTGGAGGATTGGTGACTTAGGAAGATATTTAAGGAATATGAGAAAGTCAGACGCACTGAGATCGTTTACCTTCGTACTTTCTTTTCCCTGCTAATGTCTGCTCTTAGGTTTGTGTACATTTCTTAAAATCTTCTAAATCTATCAAGCAAATTTGTAAAGCATAAAACATCTCTGGTGTCAGATCCATGGCATGTTCAAACAAGTTAAAAACTTTTACTTTTTACAGTAAGTCCTCATTAGCTTACCTGGATGGCTTCCCATCTTTTCTTCCATCTGCCCGTCTCTTTTTGTATCGTGTCGTATGGTCTGCTATGCACTGGTCAGAGTAAAAATATTTTAAAAAAAGCTACAAAATAGTAAAACGTATATGGGCATATTTTGCTGTCAGATCTGTGCAGTCTCTGCATCCAATGAGAAAACAAAAAGAAAAGCATCTCTAAAAGTAGTCAGCAGTAAGAATCCAGTCAGACAGGTTTGTTCTCTTGTCTGTTCAAACTTTTAAAGAGAACACCTTCAAGTGGTGAAACGACAAATGTAGAGAAATCCTCAGTGAGGTTCACTTACTGATGATGGAGCATTCAGTGTTGGTGAAGTGACATCAGACACAAGTTCAGACCTCCAGATCAAATTTATATGATCTGAAACAGCCACTTTCTTTACAATTTTGGATGCTTTCTTGTTTTTTTTTCTTTTCTTCAAATATTAGCATGCATTGATTTATAAACATTATGCCAAATCTTGAACCATTGTCAAAATACACAACAAAATGTCTAACAAACATTTATTGTTTGCACATAAACAAACTTATGCTTAAGATGTTTCTCTTTTATCCAGACAGCAGTTCAAAAATCAGGACAAGAAAATTTTAATGTTGAAAAGTGAAATCCTAATTCGTTTGTGTTTATTCTTCATTTTTGTTTTCATGGTTCTGAGCTGAACGGCTCGTCGTCTGCTGTCATAATCAACAAATGAAAACGTGTCTCGTTTGTCAAATTAAAAGTACATTTTGAAAATAACCTTTGAGGAGGTCATAAACATACTCGTCATTAAGCCCACATTTCTGGTTTCAAAGTAGTTTTTATTGATCTGATACAACAATCCGGTTTCCAATGTCATGTTTTCATCAGATGTAAATGGAGAATCATCATAATCAAATCAGTACTGGCTTCCAAACATTCATCTGTGTGCAGTTTATCTGTAGTTTATCTATAGTGACAAAGTTCCTAAAATAAATGGACATTTCAATAATATTTTTATGAATCTGGCTCTAGAAGAGGTTTAAGAGCCGACGATGGTCATGTGACAACCTTCTGCCTTAAACAACTTAGTCCATTTCAAGCACAAAAAGAAAGGAAAAAGAAAGCTAACGCAAAAAAAAGTTTCAAAAGAACAAAATAACTTTTTTTTGCATGCTCATTTTACTTTAAAAGCTCTATATATGCATGTTTGCTTTTATTTAAACATATTTTTTCTGTCCATCAACAATATATATAAAAAAACAAGAATATAATGCCCTTGAAGTTCTGCAGTACTCTCTGCTTTAAAGTCTGTAAATATGCAGAAGTCTGTGTATATGCAATGGGCTGAGGCAGTGCATACACGATGCAGCTGTCTGGACACGGTGCTATCAGGATCGCTCCAATCTCTACCTCGGCGTATTTTTCTTCTCACTCACTTGCGTATTCCCAACGGCTTACCGATGCAACTATGACGTCCTAATTTTCTACTAACGCATAACAGCTTCTCTTGAACATCAGATATTCAGAAAGCAGTTCAGAACACTTTCAGCTGCCTAAAACCCAAGGGCTAAGGTGGTGTTCTCATCAAAGTGTGACAACTCTGAGTAAACCCACAGCAAAAGATGAGAGGGAGACGAGTAGTAAGATCGAACATTTACTGTTGACCTCCTCGTTCATAAGCTGAGGTGAAAACTGCAGGCAGAATGAATGTATCGGGTATTGGATAAGGATGAAATTCTCTCTAAAATATGTTTCATAACTGTCCTGTGATGACTGGTTTTGGAGCCCCCTACTGGTTGTCTATAAATGCGAGGGAAAATAGAAAATTCCACACAGTCTGTTCAGCTTTCCACTGTGGAGTCATCAGATCCTTTTTCTACCATTTCACTAGTAATGGTCGTTGTGCTGAAAGACTAACATGGAGTTTTATTACAATACAGAGTGACGAGTGAACCAGTAACTCACTGCGCTATTTGTTATTTACGGTGGACCTGAGGTGCAAACCACTTCAGCAAATTGAAAGCACAATTACAAATTACAAAAGCATGACAACATGAACGAAAGCATGACAACATGAATGAAAGCATGACAACATGAACGAAAGCATGACAACATGAACGAAAGCGTGACAACATGAACGAAAGCATGACAACATGAACGAAAGCATGACAACATGAACGAAAGCGTGACAACATGAACAAAAGCGTGACAACATGAACGAAAGCATGACAACATGAACGAAAGCATGACAACATGAACGAAAGTGTGACAACATGAACGAAAGCATGACAACATGAAAGCATTATGACATGAACGAAAGCATGACAACATGAATGAAAGCATTATGACATGAAGGAAAGCATAACAACATGAATAAAAGTATGACAACATGAACGAAAAGCATTATGACATGAACGAAAGCATGACAACATGAATGACAGCATTATGACATGAACGAAAGCGTGACAACATGAATGAAATCATGACAACATGAAGGAAAGCATGACAACATGAACGAAAGCTTGACAACATGAAAGCATTATGACATGAACGAAAGCATGACAACATGAATGAAAGCATTATGGCATGAACGAAAGCATGACAACATGAATGAAAGCATGACCACATGAAGTTAAGCATGACAACATGAACGAAAAGCATGACATCATGAACGAAAGCATGACAACATGAACGAAAGCATGACAACATGAACGAAAGCGTGACAACATGAACGAAAGCGTGACAACATGAACAAAAGCGTGACAACATGAACGAAAGCATGACAACATGAACGAAAGCGTGACAACATGAATAAAAGTATGACAACATGAACGAAAAGCATTATGACATGAACGAAAGCATGACAACATGAAAGCATTATGACATGAAGGAAAGCATAACAACATGAATAAAAGTATGACAACATGAACGAAAAGCATTATGACATGAACGAAAGCATGACAACATGAATGAAAGCATGACAACATGAACGAAAGCATGACAACATGAATGAAAGCATTATGACATGAACGAAAGCGTGACAACATCAATGAAAGCATTATGACATGAACGAAAGCGTGACAACATGAACGAAAAGCGTGACAACATGAACGAAAGCATTATGACATGAACGAAAGCGTGACAACATGAACGAAAGCATGACAACATGAATGAAAGCATTATGACATGAACGAAAGCGTGACAACATGAACGAAAGCATTATGACATGAACGAAAGCATGACAACATGAATGAAAGCATTATGACATGAACGAAAGCGTGACAACATGAACGAAAGCATGACAACATGAACAAAAGCGTGACAACATGAAGGAAAGCATCACAACATGAACAAAAGTATGACAACATGAACGAAAAGCATTATGACATGAACGAAAGCGTGACAACATGAACGAAAGCGTGACAACATGAACGAAAAGCGTGACAACATGAACGAAAGCGTGACAACATGAACGAAAGCGTGACAACATGAACGAAAAGCGTGACAACATGAACGAAAGCGTGACAACATGAACGAAAGCGTGACATCATGAATGAAAGCATTATGACATGAACGAAAGCATGACAACATGAATGAAAGCATGACAACATGAACGAAAGCATGACAACATGAACAAAAGCGTGACAACATGAACGAAAGCGTGACAACATGAACGAAAGCATGACAACATGAATGAAAGCATGACAACATGAACGAAAGCATGACAACATGAATGAAAGCCTGACAACATGAACGAAAGCGTGACATCATGAACAAAAGCGTGACATCATGAACGGAAGCATGACAACATGAACGAAAGCGTGACATGAACGAAAGCGTGACTACATGAAAGAAGCATGACATCATGAACAAAAGCATGACAACATGAAAGAAGCATGACATCATGAACAAAAGCATGACAACATGAATAAAAGCATGACATCAAGAACGAAAGCGTGACAACATGAACGAAAGCGTGACAACATGAACGAAAGCGTGACAACATGAACGAAAGCATGACAACATGAACGAAAGCGTGACAACATGAACAAAAGCATGACAACATGAATGAAAGCATGACATCATGAACGAAAGCATGACAACATGAACGCAAGTATGACAACATGAACGAAAGTGTTATGACAACATGAACAAAAGTGTTATGACAACATGAACGCAAGTATGACAACATGAACGAAAGTGTTATGACAACATGAACAAAAGTGTTATGACAACATGAACAAAAGTGTTATGACAACATGAACAAGAGTGTTATGACAACATGAACAAAAGTGTTATGACAACATGAACAAGAGTGTTATGAGAACATGAACAAGAGTGTTATGACAACATGAACAAGAGTGTTATGACAACATGAACAAAAGTGTTATGACAACATGAACAAGAGTGTTATGACAACATGAACAAAAGTGTTATGACCACATGAACGAAAGTGTTATGACAACATGAACAAAAGTGTTATGACCACATGAACAAAAGGGAAGAGGTATGTCCCAGTGGGAGACGTAAGAAATCGCTGACTGGACTGCAGCTCGTTTTACTTTTGAACTGGAAGTGACTCTGACTTTAACAAGGCTTTGGTGGATGATGCAAGTCTGCATTTCACTGTAATTGAAATATGACTAAGTGACTTAATCTTCCTTTAAACTTTTAATTTTACTTCTTTTTGTAGCTAAAGCCTGAAAAATAATGGGTGGAATTGCTTAGTGTTGGATTTTTTTTCCCTCTTCCCAATGTATAAAATGTAAGGTTGGATTAGGAAAATCAGCACAACATCACATGAATTCATTTAATGTTTTTTGGGGGGTTATTTTTACATCCTTTATGTTCTTTTGTTCACGCTGTAACGCTTTCGTTCATGTCGCAGCGCTTAACGCTTTGCTTCACGTTGTAATGCTTTGGATCATGTTGTAGTGCTTTTGTTATTTGTAATTGTGCTTTCAATTTGCTGAAGTGGTTTGCAGCTCAGGTCCACCGTAAATAACATTTATTTTACAGCATTGCAACTTAGTGGATGGCTCAGGATTAAATACTTTCTTTTTTCTTGGAAAGTTACTGAGTGTGCAAAGTAGTCAGACTGAATATTTATAAAATTGCCTGAAGACTTTTTTTTTCTTTCTGTTAACTTGAAGAC